CCCCAGTCTGGCATGAACGGCTCGTGATTGTGATTGGTTAGCTGGGCCAGTGTGTGTTGTGATTGGCAGCACTCGGCGCCTGGTCGGGAAATGTAATGCCCCTTACCATAGCCGCCTGCGAGCTTCAGTGTAAATATTGCGTCAAAATCAAATCAATTTGAGCGCGATTTAAACCCGGATGATTGTAACCACTCTAAGTTCTTCTGCCTTGGGAAAGCTAGCGTGTCTCCGACATAGTGATAACACTCGTTGCCTTCTCTAGTGCAGCTCAACCAGGTCTCGTCCCATTCGTCGATATTTGTGATATCATAAATCCCGGAAAATATGCGTTGTAGTCCAAACGAGTCGTTCGTTGTAGTTTTTGAAAAGTTATTTAAGTTGTAGTTAAATAGAAAATTTCTGTTAAATAAAATATCTCCCTTTGAAGTGGACTTTAAGCTTTGTAACTTTGCAGATCTTTTTTATGCTCAAACAGCAACATTACAGACTAACTAAAGTTGAAAACGTGAAAAAGCATAATAGGACCCCTTTAATATTTTAAATGGCCGATGCTGCCATCTTAGAGAGCAGGGTGGCTGATATCACACATTTCTTTTAAAGATAGCCTAGTTAAAAATACATGCTGAAATTAAATTTTACATGATATTTCTTAGAAATAAATAATTTTAAAATAAACCAATATAAAAAGCTAAACTTGATTTTAAAAAACAAAAAAGTATACTTTAGATAAGTTCTTAAATCTGTAATCCTATCATAGTATTTTTCACAAATAAAGAACTTGTTAAAAACATGACTAAAAAGAAAGTCATTGCTGTCGAAATACAAGTACCATTTCTGACACTCATTGGCCAAACAGAAAAACTTATCAGCCAATATTGATGATTTAAAAAATGCCAATTATCAGACAATATCACATCTTGCCGATATATTGGTCGACCACTATATATGACATAGAAGTTTTGTGTTCCTAGAAAAAATGATAACACTGCAATAATGTCTCTCGTTAACACGAGTTAATGCAGTAGCCATCATGAACTAACAATGAGCAATGTTTTCATAGCATTTATAAATCTGTTAATGTGAGTTAATAAAAATGCAATTGTTCGTTGTTTGTTCATGTCGGTTCACAGTGGAGTAAAGTTAACATACAACTTTTGATGTAAAAAATATTAGTAGATGTTAAAATTAATATTAGGATTGTCATGTTAATGTAGTTATGTTAACAAATTAGACCTAATTGTAAAGTGTTATAGGAAAAACTAAAAGCATACGGGTTTGAAACAACTTGAGGTTGCGTAAAGAATGACACTTTTTTTATTTTAGGGGGAATTATCCCTTTAACCTTGCAGATGAGGCTCTGTAAGATTAAAGGGATAAACAAAATGTGATCAAGAGCATGATATTTTGGCATCATCCTTTAAATCAGCTAAAAACCTCTAAATGTTTACACTGAAAAAGCTATTTGTATTGCTCACTAGAGTCACTACTATTAAGAAAAGTCACAAATACAATTCCAGTCACTCCAACTACAGAGAGAAAAAAAACAGTGTGTTTATTCCAAACAATCTGGTTTGACCGAGAAAAATTATTTGAGATCAGATCTCTCCTCTAGACAGACATTAAAAGATGTTCTGATTTCTAAAGACATCAGCATCAGAAATAATGTGTGTCTGATGAAGCTGATCATGGCAGTTAGTCACCACTGGTATGACAGTCAGGCCTGTAACCCTACAATTATTATCCCGATTATTCAGATGACTTTCAGTCACAGCTATACGTCTGGCTATAAGCGATGAGAGTAAAAATAACTAATCTGCAGCCCTCACAAGTCAGCGTTTCCAGCCAAAGGGTTTCACTGTCATGATGTGACAAGCTACTCTTTGGCATTAATCAACCCACCCTGTTGAGAACAGACCAACACTGGGCACAACGCTTCAAAGAGACTTGACACAGCTCCTGGGCAATGGACAACAGACAACTCTGTTCATCTAATACCATCCAAATAGTGCTTCAGATAATGTCTCGACAACTAATGTAATCCCAGCCACAGTCACAATAATCCCAACAACACCTGGGATATGAGATTTCTGAAAAGATAAATCTGCGTGACACATTATTGCCAGACAAACAGTATTACGATCAAATATGTGTTTTGTGTTACTGCCTGAAACAAATGAGTCAGTGAAATCACTCACGAGCGAAATCCGAGAAAGCGGTGGCTTCCCCAGCAGCTTTCCCACCAGCATGTGCTTAATAAGAGACAATAAATGCCAGTCCCTATCAAATAACAGCCATCAAATTGCATTTCTACAGTTAGGAGAGCATTGCGTCTGAACTTCCCCTTCTCAATTCAGTCACTGCCCTTATACAACCATAATCCTCTACATCAAATGGGAAATTTACACTACAAAGATGGCACAGAAATGCTTCTGAAGTGGCAATTATGTGTCTTTACACACTGTTTAATACTGCTTAGAGGTGGCATAAATGCAGTTCCACAACTATATTTTTACTTATTTTATTTATATATTTTTTTATTTTGCAGCATTACATCTTTACACAGAATTTTGAGCAGACACTGAGCAGCCTTAAATCAGCTGTTTAAACATGCCTAAAATGAGAATAGCAACCGTTTTAACATGCACATTAATTTTCTGTGAAAATTAATAATAATTTGCTCATATTCCAATTATCTAAATATTTATATAAAAATACATTTCAGCAGGAATATCTAAATACTTTTAACCAAAACATTAATTTTAAAGAGAAGATGATGTATCACCGTTACTGACAATGTTTACATGCACATCTCACAAGCATAATTGGTTAGTTTTAAGTGACAGCACACTAATTTGTCATTTGGACAATGCTTATATCATATCAAGAGTTTCACAATAAACTAATTTCAGTGGTACTCCACCTCGAATGGTGTTATTGATGATATTACACAGCTCGACACATACTGGGTTCGAACATACTGCAACAGCTCACCGACATACTCTTCAAAGACAGGTCCTAATGGAAGGTGACCAGACAGTAACCAAGCCTGACCACTTGCAAAACCACATTTCGGGGATTGTGTAAGAAAACATAGTACGCTGCCTACCTAGAAAACATATTTAGGGATCAAAGAAGTGTTCGAACGCATTCGTCATGTCAAAATAACACTGTCTAGATAGGCAGCACACTAGAATTTGCAACACATCCTGGAGTACTTCCGCTGATCCTGACGGACCCTTCTAAACCGGAGACCAGATCCACACTTCACCGACTATGATAAGCATGTTGGCAGTGACTCAAAGCAATAAACATGCAAAATGAACACCGGAATGGGCTCATACCTGAATGCAGGGTGAAAACATTAATTCCTGGATCCAGCATGATGTTCGCTGCAGCGACAGCGGCGGCAGTTCTGCCCGGTGGCGTCCCGGTTATGTTGCTGCTGCTGCTGCCGCCGCCGTCTCGGGGTCTCCTCCCGGAGCTGCTGGCCCGGTTCGATCTGCCCTGCTGCTGTTGCCCCTGCGGTGGGGTCTGGATCCCCGCGGAAGCCCCTTCTCCCACGCGGCCTACCTGTTGTCCCATCCTGCGAGTGTTCTGGGTGGGAAAATAACACAGATCCGTGGAAAGACCCGCCGTCCGTTTGGACCGCTCACATCCCCAACGAACGTCCCGCGGGACGACGGCCTGTTCTACTCAGGATGATAGTCTTCCCCTTCTTGGTCACCCCTCCTCCCTCTCTTCTTCCTCCTTTACCGGACCGGACCGAGTTCCGTTAGCTTAGCTTAGCAATCTGTGTATGTGTGTGTGTGTGTAAGAGAGAGAGCGAGAGAACCCACCCACCACCTAACAGCTAACAACACACAGTCTAATCGTTCAATTCTACCAAACGCAACCGGATACGCGGCTCTGTTAAACGGGAATGTACGATCCTCATGCCCCCAGCACTGTTTCTCTTAAAGCGGACCCGTCTGGGGTCGTTCCGTTCTGCTCCAGCCGCTGCGCGCCCCCTCCGCCGCCGCCATCTTTACCGCAGAATCAGTGGCGTGCGCTGCACGAGCCAATGACGGAGAGCGCGCAGCACACCATCATCGCAGTGATGCAAAATGTAGTATGAATATTAACATTAGCAAAATTAAGAGAATTGTTGATTCATAATGTGCAATGAATAACATCTTACGGACAATAACTGAGTAATGTAAACAGTACAATAATAAAAATAAAAAGGTGTTATTAAAGAGTCCTATGTTATTAAAGCAATTTAAAGCATAGAAGGCTACTTCACTTGTATATCAATATATTTAATACTACAAGCTCTGATAGCAGGGTTGTTATAGTTAACTAAAACTAAAACCATATTTAAAAAAATACATTTTCGTTACTTTAAATGAAATAAACATGGAAAAAAAGCATTTCATTTCAGTTAGTTGCCAAAGCAAATTTTCTTATTTTCATTTAGTTTAACATGATGTACTAAAATAACTAAAAATAAAAACTATAGAGACATTAAAAAAAAAAAAATTAAATGATAGAAAAAACAACAAAATGACTAAAACTTTAAAATGAAACGGAAAATATTAAAATAAAAACGAATTTAAAATATTAATAAAACACTAATATAACACAATCTCTGTTTTGCTCCTAATTTAATTTTTAGCTCTACCGACAGCAATGGCAAAATATTGTAATAGTCTTGATATTACAATAATAATCTTTAATTTCTGCAACATGATTTCATCTGTAAAGAAATAACATTTTAATTCACTTTTCAAGTATACGGTCAAGTCACATAAAACATTAACCTGATATTAACTGATATCTCATCAATATACAACATGGTACATAGTGCATAAAAAGCAAACCACTATAGTCAGTTAAACTGTTTAATTGTTCATTGCAAAGCATGGTGGTACAGGCTACACACTGAACATTTCACAAGATAAATTATGATGAAAATTTGTTTAAAAATATGACATCCGTTTAGATTATTTCAAAATATTGAACACTTTTTTTGTGTTGAAAATTACAGTCATCGACTATTCTGGAAATTACAACTGAGCATTTACATGGCAGGTGCCATAAAGAAATAAAATGCTGTGTGCAAATATACAGTAGTTCTAACATTCAACTCTCCATCACCATCTGCCGGTCGTCACAGCTATTGCAAGTATGTTTTTAAAATATTATACAGACAGTCTCATACATTTTGTGGAACTGGAGAGTATTCACTCAAAACTCTTTTGTGCACTGATAAATGACATTCAAAAAGGCCTAGACTTTATGATAGTTTTTTTTACAATAAATACCCTGCATACTGTGGCAGTGTACATAATTTGTAACTAATAAAGGGATTGTGCTTGAAAACCATTAGTAATTTTGATTACATTTGATACCCTATTTTGTAATAAATATGTCCTAAAGCATGGCTTTTAAATTAATATCTAATTAGTTTAGCTCTATGGAAGGGGGAAAAAAATTAAGTAAAAATTTCCAGAACTCTTAAGTCCAGACTACAAGTCTAACTCTTCAAACAGTAACTATGGTAAATAAAACTGGCAGAATGGAGAATTTCCGCCCAAATCATCTTCATTTTAATTAAAAGTCTAGGAGTAAAAGGTAAGAAGTAAAAAAAAAACTGTTTCACAGCAGTATGGCACATAATTTAAATCCATTGGAGTTTTAGAATTCTCAACCCGCTTGTAAACATTCTACGATTTTGTGCAGTCCAGGCAAAAACTGGTTAAAATGTACCCCATATCCATGGCCTCTGCAGTACTGGAATAACACTACAATATCAAAAACACAATATCTAAGGATATCTAAAAAGTGGCAGTAAACAAAACACATTGATCTCAACTTTAGGACATCACAGAGGCTTCTAAAAAATAGAATCTCCAGATCAGACATAACCTAATGCTAACTAGACTGTCACATAGACATTTCAAAGGAAATACCAAAATATTCATAATGCACATTATAGACATTCTACATTCTATTACAGATGTTTTCATAAATATTAAGATCTAAACAAATCAAATATCTAAGGCCTCTTTATAAAACGGTGTCCTCATGATTATAGAGTAAGATTGTCACTTTTCATTTTATTTGGTCAGAGTGCAATACCTACAGAATGCTAAAAAAGTTCCAGAACGAGTAGAGTATAAATCCCATTCATCTTGTGGCTGGTGGTGTGGCTTTAGTGAGCATCTACAGCAGTGTTAGTCTATGGAGAACAAGTCCAGGATCGAGGCTTTAGCAAGTCTATGAAAGAAGGCTGAGGAAACAAAAAGAAACCACAAATATATGAATAAATTCACAAACTATATTCACAGATGAACCCACCAGGCATCAAAACTTTGTTTACCTCTTGAATGGGGCAGAAGCGCTGTGCATACCACTCCTGAGAGTACAGGCAGATGAGAACCCCCTGACCCAAGAACAGCGCAGTCCACATGATCACGTTCCAGATCGGCCCTTTTCTCCGGTCATTAAGAATGAAGTTAAACACCACTAAGAGAAATATGAGAGGATCAGAGATTTTCATATTCAGGCTCTGTCATGTTAATCAGTCATATAAAACAGAGTCCTTCTAACCGAAGCTTAAACCAACTTCTAGGTGGTTATCTGGCATCCCAGCCTGCCCAAGCTTGTTAAATTGGTCTGTTTGGATGGTTTTTGGTAGACCAGCTGCTGACTAGCTACCCTGCAAACATGTCCCTGCGGGGCCCATGCTGGCTTTTTGCGGGCACAGTGGGCTAGGGCCAGCCCACACCAAACCTAAACAGGCCCCGTGCGGGCTTGCCCAGGTGAGGCCCACAGCTTTGGGCTCACTGCAGGCTCTCTGTGAGCAGGCCACACTAGCGGACTGTCCACATTAATCCCATGATGGCCCAGTGTGGGCCAGCCCTTTCGGGCCCAGAGCAACTTTTGTATCCTTTGGGCCCCATGTGGGTAGAGGGAATTAGCAATAGCTAGCAGAAGTAGCCAGCATGGCTCACTTGCTGAACACATTGTGCTGTGTCCTGGTTGGGAAATGTGTCATTTCAAGCCTAGTCTAAAGGAGTTTTTTTTTTTCCCATGTAAAAGTGTACATTGCTGATGTTTTTTTTGCAGAGATGTTACATGTAATTATGGCCTATGTTTGGATTAATGCTAAGAGTTTAAGATAGTGTATTTGTATGCATTTTAGGAGGAATCTTTATTGGTGAGGCTACCACATCAGGGTCCATACAGATTTAAAGTTATTTTCGATGTGAGACCATAGTTTGGAATATTTTTGACTTTTCCTGGTTAGGAAGCGTCTGGTGTTTGAGAGCTGTGGCGTGTTTTCATTACGAGAGGTTGGATTATTAATTTGCTATCAGTAAACTTCAGCTATGGACAGTGTTTGGACATTGATGAAATACAGGTAAGACTTTCGCATATCAACTTTCATATGACGAAATCCTACAGTCTTACATTGCTTTGTTTGCCTTACTTTTTTTTTGCTTGCACTTTTGTGTATTTACATTTTTGGCTATATGTAGCTGTATTAACCTGAACTGAATGTTTTCTATTTTGTATTTAATAAATTGATTTGAAATCCCTTTGACTACTGTACATTTTTGACAATACAGACATTAGTTATGTGGTGACTGCATCCATTTCAGATGTATAACAACTGTTTTTCCCAAAGACTTAAAGGAACACTCCACTCTTTTTGAAAATAGGCTAATTTTCCAACTCCCCTAGAGTAAAATAGTTGAGTTTTACCGTTTTCGAATCCATTCAGCCGATCTCCGGGTCTGGCGGTAGCACTTTTAGATTAGCTTAGCATAGATCATTGAATCTGATTAGACCGTTAGCATCTCGCTCAAAAATGACCAAAGAGTTTCTATATTTTTCCTATTTAAAACTTAAATCAAGGAACTTTGCTGCCATACCATGGGTGCAGCAGGCGCTAGGGATGTAACGATATGAAAATTTCATATCACGATTATAGTGACCAAAGTTATCACGATACCAGCGCTAAGGGGCCAATGAGCAAATTCTCAGGGGCCCTGCGCTGGCAGACCATTGGGGGCCCAAAGGCTAGCCCTAATTGGGCCCCGTAAAGGGCCAGTGCAGGCTTGTTTGCAGGGTAAACACCAGCTTGGTCAGCTGTAAAACCAGCTAAGACTATCTGTTTTTTCAGCAGGGATATTTGACATGCTCTTGTAGTAAATGAGGTTCTTACTTCCAAAGCACATGAAGATGCAGAACAAGACAGGGTAGAAGAAGCCAAAGCAGATGGCCAGAACATACTCGTGCACCACAGCAGACACCGTAAAAACAACCAACATGGCCGCTGCACGGAATCGCTTCTGTGTCATCTGTAGACATGGATGATCACACATGGTTTAGCTTGAGTCCATTCAAATAAACCAAAAACAGATTGTTTAATAAAATACAGTACAATCGTCAAGGTCCAATCTGAAACACTGTTTACACCAATGAATTTCCATGTCTTTTTCAGTCATTTGTAATTCTTGGATGATTTCTTTAAAGAGTGCACTCAAAGTGCAGATTCTATATACAGCTGATTAAATAGAAATAAAAATAAAAAATATACAAAAATAAATTGAAACAACTTATAATGTACAAAAATGATAATAAAAATAAATTATAATAATTATATAAAAAACGAATTATAATCAGTCAATAAAGAATAATGTATTTTAGAATAACTAGAGTCTTAAAAAGAATAACTAGAATCTTTTATATTGTATTCGGTAACATTTTCAACTTATGACTTACCCACAGGAAGTCCCTGTAGACATAGTAATAAAGCCAATCATGTACTACAACATTCCATGTGCGGTAATAGTTAGCAAATGAAGTGGAGTTCCACCAGTCCTAGAGAAAAAGCAGAAAAATTCATTTTCAATGAATAATCATATAATGGCAACATCTGCTTTTAAACAAAGCATATCTGATCATGTGGAACATATAACCCTTATAAAACCTTACCTTATAAAACATTCTGTCTCCAAATCGTAGCATTTCAGCAAATGCATTAAGCCAGCAATGCAGAAAGGCAAAGAACGCCAAGAATAGCACCAGCACTCCTACAGATATAGAACACCACCATTACACAAACTGCATTCATTTTTATACTTTTTTTTTACTACATCTGTGACCCTTCTCAGTGTGTACTCTTCTTATTTAGACATCTTATCAGTATAAAGTAATCTAAAGATGTGCTACATTTAAATATGACATTCTACCTGGCAGTATAGAGTTGAAGACACACAACACCATGGTAGCCACATAACCCCATCGAATACATGGATTTCTACAAGGACAAAGTAACATAAGTGGAATCCAAACTGAATTTTAAAAAGTAATATATAAATGTTATTTTTATTTATTACTTTTATACACACACACACACACATATATGTATATATAAATACAATTTAAAACCAATATTAGTGAGTCTTACCGTGGATAATTGTCTCTGTATATTAGGGTAGGTGCAAAGAGAAAGTAAATGTACTGGGTGAACTGAGGTACAGCTAATGAATCTGAAAAAAAAATGAAAAAGACAAAATAAAAAGTAAGTTTTTATCGGTTTATTTTTGTGAGGTTACTAACATCTAAGTAAAGATCTTACTTGTTTTGCTTCGTTCTAAGTATTGCACTCTTGGCACATTTTCCCTGATGAAAGAGTGAGCCTTCATTATCAGTCGCACCTGTTTAAAACAGAACCAATAGCAACAACTAGATTCAGCAGTGAAACTACAATAAACATCTTCAAATATTATTAGATTTCTAACAAGTAACAAATTCAAATAAACACATGAAAGCAGAAAATAGAGCAAGCAATAATCAAGAGAGTGATATAAAAAAATCCTGTTGCTATGGTTACTGAGTACCTGTTCCAGAATAAGTATGAAGCATGAAGCAGGGGGAAGGCCGTTCTTCAGCACCACATATGTGGGTAGGAAACCCAAACACAGCCCCTGGTACAGAAGCAAGAGAGAACCAGCCAGCACTGTCCATAAGGCCCGATGGTTTGACGTGGGGTAAACACTGGCCCAGACACTGAGCAGTATATATGGAACCACAAGGGTGGACAGGAACATACACATCCACGTAACAACCACTAGGGGGAACTGGCCAAACGCGTACACCAACAGATCAAACTCAAGCACCAGTCTAGAGAGAGCAAGAAAGAAAGATTTTTGCGGCTTACACAATTTAGTAATCTTACTTGGAGTAAAAGGTTATCGTCTCACTTTACTCCGAGACAGACTGAAGGTACATGATAAACTAGTGAGAAAACACTTTTGAATCTTTTTGCATGTATCAGTCAGTTTTTGATGTCAGAAGAAGTCTGATACATTAATATTAATTAGCTTGTGCTGACATTGCTAAATAATTTTCCTAGACTGTCAAGTCACATTACATAAAAACTAAAATGTTCAACAAATTATTATTAAAATGTATAAAATTATTTTAGTTAGGGAATTAATTCAATTAAAATAGTTACAGTAATAGCACATTACTTCAATACATTTTACATTTACATTTAGTCATTTAGCAGACGCTTTTATCCAAAGCAACTTACAAATGAGGACAATAGAAGCCATAAAAATCAACAAGAGAGCAATGATATGCAAGTGCTATAACAAGTCTCAGTTACTGTAGCTTAACGCAGTACACGTAGCAAGGTTTTTTTTTTATTATATAATAAATAAAAAGAAAACAGATAGAAAAAGAATAGAGCAAGCTAGTGTTAGAGGCCTTTTTTTTGCTTTTGTTAATTGTATAATAAATAAAAAGAAAAATAGATAGAATACAAAAAGATTAGAAAAGCTAGTGTTTTTTTAAAGAAAACAAGCAGTTAGTAAATGAATAGAGTGCAAGTCTAAAAGGGGCAAGTTTTTTTTATTTTTTTAAAGAATAGAATTAGAATAGAGAGTGCTAGAGTTAGATGGTCAAATATTTTCTCAATACACATTATATTTCAGTATCTTAAAGTCACTGGTTTGTTCGATTCATTATTTTTGTTCACACAAGCACAAATAAACGTCGTTTTATTTCATAACTTTATCCTTACAGTAGCTAGAATACACTAAACTGTAAACATGTTACATGTGTGAAGATGTTTTTATTTTAGTTTTCTTTTAATGTGAAGAAAATCTAATAAAATAACACAAGGACCTAAAACTATTCCAAATTATGACACATATCAGAAATGTACTTTTAATGCAAGCCAGAAGTAGTATAGTTTCAGAGCTCATTTTTATTCATTTGGGAGACCTTGCAAACATTGTGCTCGTGAAGACAAAATATATCTCTTTATATTTTGGCAAAAACAAAACCATTATGAATACATGACACCACACTGCTGGCAAAGGTCAGAGCTTTCACATTTACAAGAAGGTTGCTTTTTTTTAAAAACTGAAGCAAAACGGATTCCAAAAGTGTTGATGAATTGTGAATGCTCTAACCTGCCCTCATCGATGAAGTCCACGACGAGTGTACTGAAGATGAAGAGAATGAGGAGGGCGATGAACATGTGATAGATGGTGCGAATGTGGTTCACCTCGAAGAGATCACTGCAGAAAAATTGTTTAATAAGCACTATTATTTTACAAATATCCATATGCAGTACAACCATATGTCTCTCGCCTTCCAGATTAATCTATATTTATATTTATATAACTATATCGATGAAAAACCAGCAAAATTATTTTACATTCCATAAACTGTGCTACAACAAACAGGTTTATTAAGGTCAGCTTATCAAAATCAAGCCATATCTCATCTACATCTGACCACAGACAGAAACAAATCTCACACATATCAGGACAGGTTTCAGCAAGATTACCCATGACTTACTCTAACAGGGATCGACGGATCACGAACTGCTTGCTTTGGCCTTGGGGAGGTCGCGTATGCCTACAGGAGCAGAGAGGAAGATAAAAAGGGTTAGACAACAGGGGAAAAAGAAAAAGGCAAAAAGAATATGAGATAAAAGCACTACGCTGATAGACTGGCATGCTAGTCATGTGCCAAGATCACGCAATGGGAAAGAAATCACAAATGCATTGAATTCAAGCAAATTTGAATGACAGAAAAGAGAAGAGAATTAAGTGTACTAGCCAGCTATGGCAATCATTGCAATCTGGTTTTTGCATGCTTTCAGGGTCGCCGTGATTTTGCCAAGTAAGACATGTTCATCTTTTGTTGATCCTGGATCAACATAACTGTCCAGAAATATAGACTTAACCCAATCCCTACCCCTAAACCTAACCCTACCCATAATGTATTCCTAAAAACAGTGTGAAATGATAGCTGATTAACAAGGGTGTAGAAAGCACCTAACCCCGATTGTAAGCCTAAAACAGATATTTCCTGAAAAGTTATCCCTCAATTCTGATTGGTTGATAGGAATGTTGTTCCAGGATCAACAAGGATGTTGATCCAGGAACATGTTGTACTTGGTGAAATCACGGTCACCATGCTTTCAGTACCTGAGTTTGCTTTTCTCCTTATCTGAGAGAGGAAAGACTGTGCTCACATGGGAGGAAACCAGACTAGCAGATTCCTCTATCAGACTGTCCATGAATTCATTGACTTGGGTGTCCAACTGCCTCATCAGGTCTGCCTTTAAATGCTGAAAAAAAACCAGCAAAACAGTAAAGACACAGGTTAGCAGTCTCTAAGGTTTCCAGAAGGTCTTATGAAGCTCAACACATCATATCCACAAGATAACAGCAATTCAGCCAGAGAATCAGGTCTCATGTGATAACTCAAGCTGTCATGGTCATGCTGTTTTGACTGCAGCTGCTCTTAAAGGAGACAAATGAAGATCATGCATGTCAAAGAAACTTTTTGGGATATTAAATTTCTTCGCAGACTGAACTGAAACGGAACTGATGACGCAATACATTGGAGGTCTGTAATTCAAATAAATTCTAAAGTTCAATCATATGACTACAACAAAATGTCTTTTTTAGGAAAGTGTATAGAAGATGTGTTACAAACAAAGACATCATATTTTCCCAAACCTCACTGCCCCTGGCTGACAACCACATCCTTCCCTATTCTATCTACACTTCCTGTAACGTTTACAAGCACCTACATCAAGCAGTGCAAGACAATCTAAAGCACAAAACAACATTTGATCCCTAAAAACAAAGTTAAAAAAAAAAAGTTTTTTTTTAGTCTGAATCTATTTCATTTAGTAATACATTATACAATTCACATGATGACTTGAATACACAATAAGTTTTCAATTTTACAATTAAAATACATTTTGATATTTTAAATTTATTGTCATATGGTCAACAAATCATAAAAAAGTAATTACATTAGTATAAAATGTTTTTAATTTAAATGCTAATCTTATATTATTGTTATTATTATTATATATACTGTATACACACACATATAGATAGATATGCATACACACATGCAGGTATCTAAAAAAATTTGAATATCATGAAAAAGGTCAATATTTTTTGTCACTCATTTCAGAAAGTGAAACCCATATATTATATAGATTCATTACACAGAGTGAAATATTTCAAGCCTTTATTTCTTGAAATTTTGATGATTATGGCTTACAAAGGGGAAGATGAGAGACACCAGACCCAACAATGTAGATGACCTGAAGGCCGCTATCAAAGCAACCTGGGCTTCCATTACACCTGAGCAGTGCTATGTGTAATGAATCTATATAATATATGGGTTTGAGTTTCTGAAATGAGTGACAAAAAATATTGACCTTTTTCATGATATTCTAATTTTTTTTAGATGTACCTGTATATAATATATATACATACTCTCTCTGTGTGTGTGTGTGTGTGTGTGTGTGATAAGATGTGAAAAGATGTAAACACACACATGCATTCAAGGACTATAACATTGCAAGATTACCTGGCATTTGCTGTAAACTATGAGGGGCTGTATAGGCCATAATTATTGAAAAGCCTCTTACAAACACTAGTGAAACGAAAAACATTGATAAACCTTAGTGAAATTCATTCATATGCATTACTGAAAACCTCTTACAAACACTAGTGAAATGAAAAACATTGATCAACCTTAGTGAAATTCATTCATATGCATTACTGAAAACCTCTTACAAACACTAGTGAAATGAAAAACATTGATCAACCTTAGTGAAATTCATTCATATGCATTACTGACAACCTCTTACAAACACTAGTGAAATGAAAAACATTGATCAACCTTAGTGAAATTCATTCATACACATTACTGAAAACCTCTTACATACACTAGTGAAAACACTTATCAACCTTAGTGAAATACATTCATATGCATAACTGAAAAACCTCTTACAAACAGTAGTGAAAACACTGATCAACCGTGAAATACATTCATATGCATAACTGATAAACCTCTTACATACACTAGTGAAAACACTGATCAACCTTAGTGAAATACATTCATATGCATAACAAAAGTGGGCTAAAACAGCGCAATGTTACAGAGCTCACGCCGTGGTGACCTTTCATCGGCGCGGCTCTGCGACTGACTCGACAGCGCGGGGAGGACGTGTTCGCTAACGCCACCGAACTGACAGCGCGGACATCAGCATCTTCATACTACTTCACAGAAATTTGTGATTTTCCCTGCAAATAACAA